CAGATGTGTACACTGTATTAAAAAATATTATGGTTTTATTTCTAATGTAATAGAAATTTAATCCATCTATCTAATCTCTCTCTCTCTCTCTCTCTGTCTCTCTCTCTCTCTCTCTCTCTCTCTCTCTCTCTCTCTCTCTCTCTCTCTCTCTCTCTGTCTCTCTCTCTGTCTCTAGCACATCACCAATTGAAATAACATCCTCTTAATTTCTTCCAGAAACCTACAGTAAAGTGCTTACTGAGATTACAGAGACGTAGGGGTGCAAATAAAAAATGAGGGGCCTGCTAACTGTCTCCACCTGTTGCTGTCCTGGTCTCGGTGGAGGGGAAGCCTTCCATCTGATTCCACAGCTGGTCTGCAGCACTCGGGGAAGGTGGCAAAGCACAGCTGAGTGGTAGCTCCCAGCCTTCCCACTGACATAATGACAATGAACTGTGGAGGTGTAACTGCCTGTGATGGGCGGCAGCAGGCTGGGCGTGCCAACAGCGGTTTTCACCAGGACCTGCAGTTGGGAATATGCGGAGCAGGAACACAGGGGCATTCAAAACAGAGGCTGGCCCCGTTTCATTCCTGTTCCCAGATCTTTGAAAATTATTGCAGCTCTGCTCGGAAGCTGGCAGTGACTGCCACTCTCAGCAGAGGGAGTATGTGAGCTGAGAGAAAGACAAAGTCGAATCTGGCTTTGTTTCTCTAAAATGAAATTCATGAAGAAAAAGAAATTACTGATTCAACTGAGATCAATCAGTTCTGTCTCCACTTGATGAAGATGCCACACGAGTAGAAGATGCGCAACTTGGAAGCCCTGCAAGCGACAGACCAGTGCGTCTCAGCCTCTCACCTCAGCTTTCCCTCCCTGCCTCCACGTGCACCTGCCTAAAGAAAGCCTGCTCAACTGGCACATCTGGCAGCCACAATCACTGTTCTTCCTGGCAAAAATAAATGAAAGTACTGCTTGTCTCCTCCACCATATTCAGAATGATAGCATTGAAGCTGTTAATGCTTTCGTTCCTTACAAGTAAAAGGCTTTATGGGCCACCATTAAAAAAAATAACAACAAAAAATAAATAAATACAACTTCTCTATAAATACTACTCTAATGAAACAATTTAACTTACCTGCCTCTTTATGGCAAAATGAAATAGGACAGGTGAGTTTATAATTAGCCAAGCATAATATTTCAAATTTGAAAATGGCAAAAAGCTATCAAGTATGATTTTTTTTTAATTTTTGCCCTGATTTTTCTAAGAGCAGAATAGGTTTTCCACAATTTACCATTTCAGTCAAGCACTTGGTTAATTTTTTTTTTTTTTTTTTTTTTTTTTTGGCGGAACCGGGGATTGAACTCAGATCCTTGCGTTTGCCAGTCAAGCACTTATCCTACTGAGCCATCTCCCCAGGCCCCAATTTACCATTTCAAAAGGCCATGTCCCGGCTGGAATGCAGCTCAGCGGTAGAGCACTGGTCTAGGATATATGAGTCCCTGGGTTCAATCCTCAGTATAACAACCACATTACAGACTCAATTATTACATGGCTACAATTTTTTTAAATGTATTTAGTATAGTGTCTACAGGGTCTCACTACACAGATCAGACTTGTAGTGATCCTCCTGTTTTCAGACTCCCAAGTGCTGGGATTAGAGGCACACACCACCACGCCCAGTCTCAATTGAGGTCTTAGCGTGCCCCAGGAGCAGGGCTGGCATGGCACACAGAGGAGTGAACCCCGATCCCTGCATCTACAGGCTGAGCTAATCAGCTGAGCTACCTGGCCGGCCCCATGGATGCAAATAAAAATTGCTGGGTCTTTACACAATCCATTAATTATGTACTTTCAGTTGTTAAACCTTTAGGGCTGGTGAAATAGCTCAGGGATTAAGTGCCTGCTGAGGCAAGTGCAGGGACTGGGCTTCCATCCCCAGCACCACATGCCACACCGGCCCTGCCCCTGGGTGCGCTGAGCTGGACACCAAGACACTTGTAATCCCAGTGCTGGGGAGACTAAAAACAGGAGGATGACTATGAGCTTGAGCTGCATAGTGAGACCCTGTACCAAATACACTTAAAAAAACAAAAACAAACAAACACAAAAAGCTTTATGAGCTTCCCTGTATTTGCTTCACATTTCCTGTACACCTGCTGAGTTAGAAGAAGTGTTACCTGTCAGTGTGGCAAGACATAAGATGCCCTTATCACCCCACGGAAAAAGCCCCAATTTAGCAAGAACGCCATGATACAGAAACGTTGTCTTATGACCTCTCTGAAATATGAGCTTTTCAAGCACATGAAGAAACAAATGCTGAGAATAGGAAGCTGCCACTGGGCACCTTGAGACCCGCTGTCTTGGTCTTTAGCATCACTGTACTGATCCTTAGCATCACTGCTGACACATTTAAACCTACCAATTTGGTACAAAATAATGCTATTCTGACATCACAGCTCTCAAAGAGGCTATGTCACTTGGATTTAGACTACGTAAGAACTGCTACACTCTACCATGACATTCAGGAATTTAATCAGGATCCCTATAGCACTCTGAAGCTAAGTGCTAATATCCCCAGAACCCCTCTTTCAGAACCCACTTCCAAATATATCAAGAAGACAACTAATGCCAGCTGTGAGGACCAAAAGGAGAAACACTTCCTAGGCTTTTACTTTTAATACAAAAATATCCATATTGCTTATTCTTAGAAAATGTAAGAAAAGGATGTTCAAATAATGGATTAGGACCAGTCACTATTATCAGTGTTCCTTTTGATGAAAGGGGCAAAAGCAGTACCTTAAGCTGCTATTCCCATTGTACCCTCCCAAATCCTCCATGGAGCACTCACTGTTACACTGGTCGCAAGCGTAGATTCTCCCTTCCAGGGCCTCTGTCTCAGTGAACTTGGCCAGCATCTCTGTAAGCAGGCACTCTGTCTGATTTAAAGGGACAAATCCCTTCTCCATGCAGTGATAGCGCTCAGGGAATTCCAGGGACAGATCCCAAAAAGGCTCAATAGTATTGGATTTGTAATTGCATGATATACATGTGACCTAGAAGGAAAAGATTATAGATTACATAATTTTTATGGTTCCCATATACATTTTTTCTTGTTTTGTACGCAGCATAACTACCAAGACCAGACTACAAATTTTCAAAAAGTAAAATATTGGGGCCAGGGAGATGGCTCAGTGGAATAAGCGCTTCCCTGGCAAGTGCAAGGGCCTGAGTTCAATCCCCAGTTCCACACACACACACAAAAGTAAAATATTAAAAAATAAAAAGAACTTGGGCTGGCCTAAAGCACCTGCTTAGACAGATGCAGGGACCAGGGTTCCATCCCTGGCATGCTGTGCTGGCCCCACCCCTGGAGCATGCTGAGATGGCAACTGAGACTGGGCATGGTGGTGATCGCCTGTAATCCCAGTGCTTTGGAGGCTGAAAAACAGGAAGGATCGCTGAGTCTGATCTGTGTAGTGAGACTCTGTAGACCTTGTACTAAATACATAACAAATTAAATAAAATAAAAAACAAACAACTTAAGGACAAGAACTAGAACAGATGACATCTGGTATACAATTCTAACTACTATGTGGTTACTAAATAATGTGTTATACCCGTGTTACACAGCTCAACTCCAGGCCGCTGTCTAGCACTAGCACTTGCTCCTAGCACTGTCTTGCTCCACTCCGGCAGCAGCTCTTCCACACCCGGCGTACAGGCTGCAGATTAGTGTGGAGGCGGCCAAGCTGTTGGTCTAGACACACAATTTGCAGCTGCGCCTGCATCTCACACCCTTGTATTTCCCCCTTTTGACTTTGGTTCTTCCATGCTGCCAACGTGCATCTTTTTGCCCTGTTCCTTGCTGCACCCCTTCCTGGATCGTCTGTCCACACAGTTTCAGAGTAATGGTCAGGTGTTCTCTCCCACTTTACCCTCCCAGATGCATTTTACATGCTTTCAAAAAGCCTCAGTGAACTCTTTTCCCTTCTTACTCAACAGTCTCAAAATTCTGAAGAGACACAAAACTTCAGTGACTCAGTGCGGAAGTTTTGCCTGAATCTCCTAAATCCCATATATGGAAATTCTTCCTGCATGTTCTCAGAGGGCCTTACTGTGCACCTCTGCTTAGGCCTCTACATGGCTAAAGACCTGAGAAATAAAAGGCCATGAGGAACAGGAAAGTGTCCTGCCTAGGCCTTCAGCATGCTCTCAGCCACTCCTCCTCCTTACAGATAAAGAAGGAAGAATGCTCTTTCACACTACTATGGAACCAGGGTTATGGGCAGATCGTATTTAGTTTCCCACAAGAGATCAAAGAATGGAATGGCAGCCATGCGTAATTAATGATAACAAAGAGCATACTGGGTTACCCAGGTCTTCACTGACAGTAATCTGGCCAGAAGAGTGGGCAAGCTCTACAATAAGGCCAGCACTGTGAACAACAGGCAGACGGCCACCATCAGTTCTGGCTAATCCAGTTGCCCCTGGGCGGCACACACCTACCTGGCTGAGCAGCTGCCCATGGAAGATGGTGTTCACCACCTTTAAGACCTGCTTGGTGAGCTTCCTCTGGGAGAAGGGGATGAGGATCCGGCGCGTAGAGCCCTCAGCCTCCAGCTCCTGCTGCACCTTATGTAGCAGCTCACACAGAAACTCCTGTGCATCCTGCTGGTCGTAGCCACGGAAGGCAGGGATGAGGCTCCACACGGAGTGCAGCATGGCAAAGGGCGACACCAGGGCCCACCGACCGGACCACATGACTCGAAAGAGTGTGTGCAGCTCATGGCAAAGCGAGATGTGCTTGGAGCTGGGCTCCTTGTTCTGGATGAGCTCCAGGCTCCTCCTGAGTGAGGCCCCGCCGTTCCAGCAGAGGCCGTGGCGCCCACAAGCCTCAGCTCGGTCGCTCCTGACTGGTGGCTCCGGGGCTGAGAGCCGGGCCTTGCGGTGGGCAGCCTGGGCGAACAAGTGCTCGGTGGTGCATGGGTCAAGGTTCAAGAAGCACTCGCGGAACTTGCGGAGGTGGCTGAGCACCTGCAAGATGGAATTCATGTAGCAGGTGTTGCCCAGGTTACGCAGGCCCGTGACGCCTGGGGCCACAGCGGGCTGGCGACGCAACTTGAGTGCGGAGGGTGCGGGTACGGCGGGGCGTGGCGCGTGCAGCAGCAGGCGCGCACTTTTGCGCGGCGGTGCGCTCGCCAGCTCCTCCAGCAGCCGCCGCTTCTCCTCCCGCCTCCGTGCCCGCGCCTCCTCGCGCCGTCGCTGCTCCAGCTTTGCGCGGCCCCGTGAGCTGCGCTCGAACCACAGCCGCAACGTCCTGGCCAGCAAGCGCTGGCGTCGATGCCACAGGGCCGCGAGCATCTGCGGCTGTCCCCGGGGCGCACGGGACAGGGCAGTGTCCTCGCCTGAGCCAGGGGCCAGGGCTGTAGCCGTGGAGCGTAGTGTGCGCCCACGTCTTACGGGCTGATCCTGCTGCTGGCCACGCACCGCCAGCAGCGAGCTCCGCAACAGCTTCAGATCCCCCTCGGGGTTGTCATTGAGCACGTAGTCCTGGCACAGGTAGCAGAACACGTAGAGATCCCGGACTTCCATGGCCAGTGAGTGTCCGGTCTCCACAAAGTGCTCCTGGGCGTGGTCTTCAATGTAGCGGCCGCAGGCCACGTGCGAGCACTTGAGGCAGGCCCACACCGACTCGGTGGTGGCGCACTCCAGGCAGCACCACTTCTGCGGGTTCAGGATAGAGTGGTCCTGGGCCAGCCGTAACCGCCCTACATGTTTGCATCTATCCATGTCTCAGCGCAGTCGCCACGGCCTTAAGCTGCACCACGCGGGCCCAAGGGGAGAGAGGAAAAAAACAAAACAACTTTGAGCAGTTTTCCAAAGGAAGACTTGCAACTGAGTTTCAAATCAAGACTCATCATTTTCATCTCAAAATTGGTTCGTTTTCAAGTTAAAACTTTATCACATTAATTGCCATGGGAGAGGTGAAGAGTCTCAGACAAAAAATTATCAGATTGATTTCAACGCAGAGATACCGGATTGGGTAAAGAGAAGGGAAAGAAAGCACACTCTATGAGGCTGAGGCGAAGGATCTAGATCCAGGCCAGTCAGCTACCCAGTGAGACCCTGTCCCAGAAACAGGATAGGAAAGGGAAGGGGAAAGGAAAAACGAAAGTAACAGTCTTATACTCAGCATGGTCTTACTGATACCCAAAGGGGTTTCAGTTGATGCCTTGCAGAAAGGGTGGGGACACTTTGGCCTGCTGTTCTGAAAGCTATGTAATACAGAATTAGATGGATCTGACTTAGGAGGAGTGGTGGTTTGGCTGCTGGAACAACAGCATTTAACTCAACCTCTGAGACAAAAGACATTCAGCAACAAATCTGCCAGCTGATGGATCTGAACATACTTTTCTAACAACCCAGCGCTCCTTTCCTATTCCAACTGCTTCTTCAGTATTGCTCACAGGAGAAGCCAAAGAGGTGACTTCTCCAAGGAAAGAAGCTGATGACTATCTTGCCAGAAAATACTTGCTCTGTGGAGCCTTGTACACCCCACTCCCTGATTGATTTGCGGTACTGGGGATTGAACTCAGGACCCTGTGCTTGCCAGGCAAGAGCTTATTCTATTAAGCTATCTTCCCGGCCCCTCCCTGATTTAAAATTACCAGAAGACAGCTCCTTTTATAAACTGCTGTCCCCTCCTTTTCTTCTCTGCTTTGTATTTCTGTAAGCAACAATCCCAAATAACAGGGCCAGCCCAGCGCAGTCCTAACTCCAGTGCTATCCGAGCAGTCTCTTTGGGTTCCACATGCCATTCTGACTGAGTTGTTTATCAAAATCTAGGAATAAATAAATACACTCGAAGACTAACTTGATGATCCTTCCCTCTTTTAACTGCCCAGCCTAGATGGCAGAGGTTACTATGCAAGAAATCACCAGCTTGCACAAGGAAAGCAAGCTAGAAATTTCTCAGCTGAGCTAGGCCATACTTTGACTACTGTCAGGATTTAGATTCTGCTGTACTATATTTCTAATTATTGTTTATTTTTTCAGATTATTATTATTTTCCTGGGTTGTTGGTAAGTGTCCTTTAACTCATTTTTCTGGATGAGTCTGTCCATTTTCTAACTTGACAACTAGCCTCCAGAAGAGGCCATGTGTTATATCTTTTTTACTTCTTTATAATGACAAGATCTGGAAAGGAAAGAAGGGAAAAGAAAAAAAAATGAGAAAAGAAAGAAAAAATGGAAACAAAGCTTTTGAGGGGCTAAAGGGAAGGTAGGGGAGTAGGAGACTCAAGATACATTGTGCACAGGTACACGATAAATTCTCTATGATGAATGTAATCATTGTGTGTATCTAAAATGTACCAATAAGGGCTGGTGAGATGGCTCAGTGGTCTAAAGCACCTACTTAGAACAAGCTCAGCAAAGCACAGGGACCGGGGTTCAATCCCCCAGCACCACATGCCTGCCAGCCCCGCCCCCTGGTGGGCTGAGCTGGCCACACACACACACACACACACACACACAAATAAATAAAATAAATTTTAAAAAAATAAAAATAAAATGTACCAATAAAATCTGACTGGAGCTGCAGAGATAGCTCAGCAGCATAAGCACCCACCTGGCAAATGCAAGGTCCTGAGTTTGATCCTTGGTACCACACACACACACACACAAAAAAAAAGACTGCTGGGTGTGGTGGCACATGCCTATAACCCTATCATTCTGGAGGCTGAGGCAAGAGGATTGTTGTAAGTTCAAGACCAGCCTGGGCTACAATGTGAGCTCAAAGCCAGCCTGAGCTGCATAGCAAGACCCTGTCTTGAAAGAAAGAAAGAAACAAACAGACAAACAGACAAACAAACAAACAAAGACCGACCTGAGTTCAATCTCCAGTTCTGCCAGAAAGAAAGAAAGAAAGAAAGAAAGAAAGAAAAGAAAAGAAAAGAAAAGAAAAGAAAAGAAAAGAAAAGAAAAGAAAAGAAAATATATATATGACAAGATCTTACAGGTCTAAAATATTATCAGAATTCCCTTCCCAGGAGCTGCAGGTATAGCCCTAGATTTGTTTTCATTTGTTCCATCACTAAAGGATGAAAAGAGTCTGGGAGGATGAAGCCAAAAGAAGGCAAAGTCAAGCCCAGTCCGGGCAACTTACTGGCTTAGCGAAGCTAAAAAAAAAAAAAAAAGCTGGGGATATATAGCTCAGTATGTAGGCCCTGAATTTAATCTCCAATACTAAAGAAAAAAACAACAGTAAAGGGTAAGTAAATGCATTTTCTTTCTTGCTCATTAATATCTATTGAGGATGATTACTGGGGGCACAAAGGAGTTAATGATTAAAGAATGAAAGGGGGAAATATCAAGAAATAAGCCATTCCCAAATTTTTCACCTCTTCTCAAGATGTGGTCCCTGAACTGCCTACCAACACCCACATTTCCTAGGCAACTTTCTGTCTCTTCCTTCAGATCTGATGAAGGAAATCTGGAGATAGGTCTGAAATCTCCATTTTAAATAAGCTCTACAGATGAGTCTTTTGCACATTAAAGCCCTAGAACATATTGATCCAATAAATTATATAGGGATAAAGCCCTCACAGAAATCAAACTCCTCCACTCAGACTCATGTGGTCCAACAGGACTCTGAGCAATCACAGAATATTCCCTCTGCTATGCGACACGCACTAACTAGTTACATGTGACTGCCAACTGCTGGAAATGTGGCTGGTGAGACCACGGAACTGCGTGTTAAATTAATTACAACTGAAACAAATCCTATGTGTCTAAAATTAGTGGCTGCAGTATTAGGACAGCACAGGCTTGCGCACACTGGGACAAACTAGCTTTAGTTTACCCTGCTTTTCTTTCTTTTGAAAGATATGTACTTGCTGAATCGCATTTAAACAGCTTCCTCTTACAACCCAAGACTTGATACTTGGCCAATCCCCATTTCTGCCTTGATGTCTTCAGGAATTTAATTACCACCAAGATCTTACCCTGTCAAACACAGCGCAGCTTCACACCCTCCGACAGGGAGCATCTCCACAGGTATGAGTCCAGCAGCACAACAGCTGCAGCACTCATGCCTTGCTCCCATATTAGGAAAAATATAATGGAAGACCCAAAGCCACTCCACACTCTCACTGTACGGAAGACCTGTCAGCTGGAAAGGACACTTGGGGAAGTCTCTTCTCATTTCATTTTCTGATCTGTAAATCTGCTGATCACACACATCCTCTTCTCCACAGCCCTTTTCCCATTACAAATCTGTCACGGTGACTCACTCACCTGCCATATGGCAGACTGAATCCATTCAGAAAAATACAGGGCTATTCTGCACCTCACCACACTGGTCTCAGTGAGGCAGGCTGGCTTCTCCTGAGCAAACCGTAGCTGATCAGGAAATGGAATCTCCCAGAAGTGACACAAAAGAAAAAAGCATCCTTACCCAACATATAATACAGAGAATAAAAGGAATACAACCTGAGGCAGGCTTCGCCCAGGCATGTCTGTCCAATCCACCTTCCACACCACCCCGCTCCTTTCAGAATGGAGTTTCGTGTCCTCTACTAGAAAGAGGAATTCCATTCTATATCTTTTTGACATGAACAGCTTTCCTTCCATATTCTCAAAAGGTCACAATAATTCTAACATTTCCACGTAAAACATACACAATCCAGTGTGACAGGCACTCAATATTCAAAACAGACAAGCCTGCTGTGTAATTGAGAGGCACATGAAATGTCGGCCTGGATCTACACCGCTAAGTGTATCAGCCACATAATAAATGCCCTGCACACCCTGGACCCATCTGCACGCAGGGAAAGGCAACCTGGAAAAACACTGGTGGCTGCCTTTTCAATTCCCATAGCTTTATTTAAAAAATGTGAATCAACTGAAGCTTAAGATGGTAATCAATACTTTAAATGAATCTATAGATGAATGTGACTAAATAGAAAATAAAAAGATAATAAAATTTTTTTAACTTTTGCTGTTTGTTCTAATGAGAGACTTCTAAATTTATCAAGTTTTTTAAAAGTCTCCATAGGACAGATGACAGGACATTATAATAATAATCATCTTTCAAAAAACCTGCACCTCAGAAATATGGTTTTTAATTGGAATTAATTCCAATTATTCTCAAGCACAGATTTCTTAGTGTGTTTGATGCATAACTGTATCACCCTAAATAAAATCTCTGAGGGTAAAGGAAACCAACAGAAATGAAATAGGAGCAAACAGGAATCTACTGTAGGGAAGCCCCCCATCATATTGATTTTTTTTCTCTGTTCTTAACTAAGAGCCGTGGAATAATCCTGGCCGGTCTTGGTGAGACAGAGTGGCATAAATTCCGGTTTCAGGGAGAGGAGCCACTATGGTAACATGCTGACAGCCTTCATTTACATAAAAGAATACTAATTACGCGGTATCATCAACATCTGCGATTGTGCTCGCTGCCATATGTGACGACGGTGCCGGGGATTTTAACCCTTCCACTCACCAACTGTACGCAGCCCTGCACTCACCATAAACCCACCAAGACGGCCTGAAGAGACATGGTGAAGACATTTTAATGTGTTAAACATGAATCTTATTTTTATGAATCTTATTTTTTGCTAACATTTTATTTCTTTTCTTTTTCTTTTTTTTTTTTTTTGCTCCGAATGCCTTCAGGGCAGGCTTGGCTGGCTTGAGTTGTGGATCGAACCCCAGCAACCTGAGCCTGACTGCTTTGTTGAAGCAGCCGCTTAAAGAACTGAGCTAAGGGGCAGGCCCCCAACATTTTATTTCTAAGAGATATGGAAAATCT